TCCAGGAAGGTTGCAGTTCTGGAAAATGGTGGCGCTGGAGACTGGTGGTTAATGGTTCCTGATGGTTTCACACCTAATTCTTCACCTTAATTCTTTTGCAGTTAACGTGTCTTTTCTTCTCCACATGTTGAGCAATGAGCATTTCGCTGTCCAAAGGTTATGCCTTAACTTAGCAAATTCTAGTATTGCATCCTTCTCATGGGCATTTAATAATTTTTGACTTTCAGTCCGAGTTAAATCTCTTTTTTGGCTCATTTTAGCTGTAAAAGAAAACATGCCTAATAATTCTGCACACCTGAACATAAGAGGTTTTTCACTTCCAGCCTTGATGGACAATTATACAGTATATCACTTATAAATGATTAAATATCAAATTAATAGTAGTCATTAAGATTGATGTGGTTTGGAATTGGTTAACTGTTCTTGGGAAAAAAATATGACCATAATATCAACGTGCCTAATAACAACAATGTGTGCACTGTATTCTGCAAACTGATCTCTCCTACGACTGAATCCAGATCGGTCTCTGTCAGAAAGAGATGCATTAATGAGAATACTAGTGTGCTATTTTTGAAGGCTTTATCATCAGCCCCAAGCATATCTGCAGACTTTGTTTATTTTCTCCTTGATTCCATTAACTCAAAAGTTACAAATGTTATTGATGACATTGTAAGTCAGGAAGAAGACTGGCAGACATAAACCACCTTGGAGAAACACAAGCTAAACACATGACGGACGACAAAACTTGCAATAACATATAGAAGAGACCTTCTTTTCTAACAGTATTCTTCTATATATGCAAACATTTTAGTATGAGGTTATTTCATTAGACAGTTAAATCCATCTTTGCAGATGCAGCACATAAAGGGTGCCCTGGCACAAAATTTGTAAATGAAATGTACTTAGTATGTTTCTACTAGTGCTGTCAAAATTAGCGCGTTAACGCAGGCGATCAATTTTTCCAATTTAAATGGAGCTATGGTTGGCCACCCCACTCACAACTGCTGCTTCTGTCTCTTTTTTCTTGACAAGAATTGCATTTATTTAGACGAAGAATGTCTTTACGACCACATCAAACAGGAAACTTTTCAGAGGCGCACTTCACTTCGCCTCAGCGTCAGGCGCTAGTCAAACGAGCATGGAAACGGTACTGGTGATGAGAGAGCTTCAGTAGAACAACAGTGAACTGTGGTCAGATGAGATATTGTCAGGCCATATGTCAGTAAAAACAAATTTTCACCTTGTAGCATGCGCAACTGACTATTCTTTGTCAACCAATCAATGTTCTGCAGTGAGTCTAGCTCCACCCTTTAGGTACAGGACTACTTTGCTAGGTACCCCAATGGAAGGGTCCCTAAAAATTGGTACGGTACAGTTTGCTATTTTGGTACCATTCTAGGGCCGGGCAGTATATTGAGTTTGTACGATATATTCTTTATTGTCGATGCGGTATGAGGCAATACCGTTTATATCGATATACCGTAGTTTGATACGAGCGCATCTGAAAAATATAGCGGAGGACACATGCTTAGCCGCTGCAGAGAAAGTGCATAATCCAATTTGTTCTAAACATGTGACAAGCTTTATATTAAGGGCTTTAAAAAAAAAAACTCGTAGGATATAGTATAGTTCATAGTTTCGTATAGTTTAAAGCCACTCGGCCCGTAAGATGCTCTGCCAGAAAGGCTGCGTGCGTGTGAGGCTGACAGAGACTCTACTTGAGCTGTTTAATGTGTTTGAGATGTGCCATTTTCCTTAATGCATAACTTACATTTTACAGGTATATTCTCCATCTGTAAATGTTAGAAAGTCATGGAAATATTTCCATTTTGCTGTCAGGAGTGTGCCATTTTCCTTAATGCATAACTTACATTTTACAGGTATATTCTCCATCTGTAAATGTTAGAAAGCCATAGAAATATTTCCATTTTGCTGTCAGGAGTGCATGAGCCCTCTTCTTCGCAAATCTCCGCTAAACTTCACAGACTTCAGTGAATGAGCGCCACTGTGCGCATGCACGCCAAACATATGTTGACTATAACAACATTTCAGATGCTATGGAATGAGATCAGTCCGCTGGTTAGTCACATGACTTTTTTGATGCGCATGGAGGAATTTATTCAACAAATGCATTTCCATCTTCCATTATTTGCATTAACCCTTTTTCACACAAGTCCACCTCAAGCGAGCGTAAAAACTTTTGTGCAATTTAAGGGATTTTTATTCGCAATTTGGTGTTTACATCACTCGTTTCTGATGCGATATTTCAAAATGCATATAAAAACAGGGTGATGGAAACATAACTACTGTTTTGGACCGCAGCCTTAAGCATGCAAGTACAGAAAGATGCGTAGATGTGTGATACCTAAGTTTCCTGGCCCACTGCTTGTCTAGTCTTGCAAGCGGTTTTACCCACAGTACTGTACATAAACCTCTGTCTCTTACCGAATTGAGTTTTTGGTTGGTGAGCAGTAGGTTGATCATCTCCTTCAACAGATCATCCACTTTGCTGAAGTGCTGCCCTGAACACCCGTGCTGTGATCCTCCTCGACTCAGGGTCTGTGCCACCACCTGTGTGGCATGATGCAGCTGCTCTGGGTGATGCAGAGGCTGTCCAACATGGGCCTGCCGGAAAACCTCCACCACAGAATCCAGCAGCTGCACTACTGAATCCCAGACCTCATCCCCACCACGACACAGAGATGACTCATAGCCTCTGCTCAAGCCACTCAGACAGCGTAGGAACTGCATGTGTTTTAGCAGCCTGTGATCCTGGCGCCATTTTTTATTCTGGAGGGGAAAATTCTGACTGTTTGGAGGAGTCGGAGGCAAGCATGGTCCCTGAACACCATATATCTGTGTTTGTGAGCTGTTATCAGTGTCACAGCCAGAGTCGCCCTTTAACTGCTGTGGGTCGTCCTGAGAGAGTTCTTTGGCAATCTCTTGACCTGTGAAAGCAAAACACAGACATAATCAGACAGTGTCCAGAGTAGACCTCTGGGGCCTCATTTATAAAATGTTGCGTATAAACCGTCCTAAATTTGTTCTAAGATCATTTCTCAAAAGTGCGTAAGTG